TTCGCTCCCCTTAAAATCAGTCTCCAAATCCTCTCAGCAGATAACAAAGGCCATAACCTCCTCAACAGTCTTTCCTTCTCCCCATGTTCATAAACCTGCCGCATTCCCCCACCAGAATCCTCCCTAAACTCAGACCTTTCTTCCTTCTTGCCCTCTACAACTGTAGGCAAGGGCCTTTCCCCAGGTCCATTGAATGTAAATGCCTCATCCGAAGAGCACTCTGAGCTTGACCAGCTGCTCCATGCTTTCTGGACCTCCTCTTGAATCCACAAATTCTTCATGCCTTTTCGCGACTCTTATTTTCTCCGTCACACAGGTCTAGGTCTACTACTTCTCTTCCATTCTTTTTTTAGTCCAAATCTTCTTTTCTTCTTTAAACCCTTCCATTCAGTCCATTCAAACATCATGATCTGAAACACAACCAATTCCTTTCTTCTCCACTAAACTCCCTTTCCTGATGCCAACCTGTGCAACTGTCGTGGATGCCTTTGCCACCTGAACTTCCAGGGAGATGCTGACCATCACGCTGCAACTAGGGCAGGCTAGAGAGCAAGTTGCCCTTCATTGGCCGTGCACAGGCAGGGCAACAACTAAAGGCTTTCTATTGCGAGTTGGCTTCCCTGGCTCTAATGGTGTCGTACCAGTTAGTTCATACACCACCTCCATCGTTTTCCACCATCCTCACGCCCAGGAACCATCAGGAATGATAACCCTCCTGCTCCAGTAGCCTCTCTTCTATAACAGGACCAGGAACTTTCCACCTCCGTTTTCCCAACACTACCTGCAATGTGTTCTTGGACCCTACCAATAAAACTCTTGGAGGCTATTCACCAGCCATTCTACCTCCTCAGCTCAGAAAATGATGGAGACCTAAAAGCTTTCTCTGTTCTCACACACTTTTTGTCCTTCCACCTTCTCTCTCACTAGTTCAAAGTCACAGGAATCCCTTTCAACAACTAGGAAGTTGGCTGAATCTCAGCCCTTTCCTAGAACCGGACGGAGGTGATTTTCCTTGCTACCCTTGAGAGAAGAAAAGTTATCATATTCCCTGCTTCTATTTAGACAGGCGTACTAGCCACCATCATTGTACTCTTCCCTTCATGGTCTCTGCAACTTCAGAGAACAGAGGCGCCATATGCAGCTTCTTCTTGGGCTAGCAAATCGCATGTTCTAGTGGAGCATTCAAGGAAGCGGCTGTGAGCAGTGGTGTATGAGGGTGATCTGCAAGGGCTAGCACTGTGACATGTCAGTTGGCCGCATGTCTGGGGAGGTTTGGTCTAATCTGATTCGGCAAAGTCCCTAGCAATCCTCCTTCCTTTCTCTGGTTCTGCAGAAGTGACGAAGAGCCTCACATGGGGATACCTTGTAGTGTTACCTCAATTATGGTTGCAAGGAGATGAGTTGCAGCTACAGGTGTGTGAATCTAAGCCTCGGCTAACTTCTCCTCCTATCTCTACTTCAACCTGAAACCACAACTTCCAAGTTGTCTTCTTGCTCCTGAAATCCCTAATGTGTTCAGTGCCCATGAGACCAGGCTGAGCACACAAAGGATCGCGGATGTGGTTGCGAGATTAAGCGTGGTTGAGAGATTAGTGACAGCCAGACATTAGCTCTTTTTTGTTAGAACTGGAAAGGCTGTAAAAAAAAAAGAGTTCAATCTAATCCTTTATAGTGAGGACTTGGTGGACAGGATTGATCTTTTGACATTGGTTCTTTTGTAAATGTACATGGCTGCACCACCTTGTTGTGTCTTAGTGATATTCCCTCTATCTCAAAAAGAAAATAATTTTCAAGTATTTTATAAATCCCTATCTCTTGGATTTTCCTGGAAATTATGTTGTATTGGTTTCTACAAAATCCTTACATGGGAATCATCTGTTATTTTCCTTGTTTTCTTTTCTTTTTATTCTGATATTTAAGGATGGCTATTTTGGGGGACTATGCTGACGACCGTTATACAACTTTTCACTTAAATGCTTCTAACTGTTGTATTGTTTCTTAACTTTTATAGGCACTCGTCAATGTGCATGGTGCTGTAGAGTGTAAGGAGAAATGTGGTAGATCAGTTTCTGTTACCCTCATGAGAGTGGCGGGTAAACACACTGAGGAGAGGAAGACAGTTCATTTAACTGATGAGAATAATGAATTTCACTTTTCAAATGTTTTCCCTGGAAAATATAAGCTTGAGGTAAGTGAATGTTATCTTACATGTACAAATGGTGTTCTTGATTGCTTTTGTTATGAAAAAGAGTGATGACTTTTGTGTAGCAAAAAATAGCTCGTGCCCCTCTCAACTGCCTTTCACTCGGTCACGAGCTTTTGACTAATAGTTAATTCTACTTCTTTCTTTATTGTTTCAAAGAAAAAAAGAAAATTTAGCTGACTATTGGGTGTTTACTTTTGATTGGTACTTTAAGGTCAAGCACACTTCCCCTGAAGCTATATCCAAGGAAGATAATTGGTGCTGGGAGCAGAGCTTCATTGATGTTGATATTGGAGCCGAGGATGTTAGTGGAATTAGATTCGTTCAAAAAGGTTACTGGGTTAATGTTATCTCCACTCATAATGTAGATGCTTATGTCCTGCAACCAGATGGATCGCATATTGATTTGAAAATTAAGGTAGTCTTTCTTCACTAAAACTTGGTACTAAAGTTCACATAATTATATTAAGAGAGAACATGCATTTGGTTTGAGGTTTACCTCCCTTCATAAACTGCAGAAAGGCTCCCAGCACATATGTGTTGAAAACCCTGGACTCCATGAACTTCACTTTGTTAACTCATGTATTTCCTTTGGGGGCCAATCAACGATTATTGATACATCAAACCCATTGGTAACATGTTACAGACTTTTTTTCCTGTTTCTTTGTGATCCTTTACTAAATCCTTTTCTTCTTGTATTTTATCATTTGGAATTCCTAATTACACTCATGTTTCTGTAGCCTATCCATCTGAAAGGAGAGAAATATCTTCTTAAGGGAGAGTTGAATGTTGAGCTAGGCTCACCCGATGGTGTATATGAGTTGCCCAATACTATCAGTGTGGACATTCAGAGTAGTGGTGGTGATGTAATTAACACTATAACAGCCAAACTTACATCTAAGATGAATGATCCAAGGATCACTGCTGTCTATGAATATTCGACATGGGCTAATCTTGGGGAGAAACTTATTTTTGTACCTTTGGACTCTAGGTATGTACTTCAGATTCTTTTTTTCTTGATTATGTAATACCAATCTCTTTGTCTTTGAAAAGCATTACATTTCAGGACTTCTTTTGTTTTTCTGCTGCTCCACCTTCCCCACTTATTTTGAATTGTCATTATTGCAGAAATGATAGAAAAAAGAAGATTCTGTTTTATCCAACACAGCATCATGTAAGCATCAACATGACTAAAAGGCTTTGTAATGTTCTGTAAATTTCTTTTTTCTTTTTTTCAAATTTGTCCTGCTATATAAAATATTTATCTTATTAGATGTTGGTGTCAAATGATGGCTGTCAAGCTTCAATTCCTTCATTCTCTGGTCGACTGGGGTTGTACATTGAAGGATCAGTTTCTCCCTCTCTTTCTGGTGTTCATATAAGAATTGTTGCTGCAGAAGATAGCCACGTTTCAACGTTAAGAAAAGGTGACTTAGTGGTTGAAACTAGCACAGGGACAGATGGTTCTTTTGTTGGGGGACCTCTTTATGATGATATAACCTATGATGTTGAGGCTACAAAGGTTTGTATTGTTACTATGAAAGAAATGTTTATCGTGTAGTTATTCCTTTAGTCATTCATTGTCTGAATATTTGCCGCGGGCATTTACATTTTTCTAAGTAGTTTGCTTTCTGTAGTTATCCATAAATGAAATATTTCTAAATCCTCTTCATATTACTTAATTAATGTATATATGTTCATTACTTTCCCCATCTTCTCTTGATGTGAAATGCTGTTTATTGGATGAACCTATACAGATCTTATTAAATTTTACCCTTTGCATGTTATCAGTATGGTTCTTACTATTTTGATCAAGTAGCTGAAAGAAATTCGTTATTTACAGTAAGAAATTGGAGAGAACTTGAAGATGAATGTTTTTCAAATGCTAACTAAAATACAATTTTAAAGAATCATAGATTAGGGAGGCTAAAATTGCTGATGGCATCCTAAATTTTGTCTGGAACATGCTTAAACTGCTGATTTTAATGAAGTCTGAGCAGTTTACTAGTGAGTCTTTCATGTGAGATTTAAATTGTAAATCTTTATGACAATCTGATGCTTGTCAGTTCTCTCACTCATGCTTGAATCCTGGAGTCTGTTGGAATGTGAGATCTGGTCTGGTAGTTGTTGGCCATTCTGCCTGCACCTGGTTGCACTCTCCCGTTTGATACCCATGGTCCTGAGCTTTTCTATGGAACATTTGCCTGATGATCTAATGAACTTAAGTTTAATCCAGCATCTTGGTAGGCAGTTGCTAATAATTGTCATGGTTCTGATTGTGATGGTCAAATGTTTGGCTGGATAGGGAGGTTTATATATATATATATATATTTTCTGTATTGCTCCTGTTTGGATTAATTACTAGACTGATGCTGGAATCCTGGAGTCTGTTGGAATGTGAGATCTGGTCTGGTAGTTGTTGGTCATTCTGCCTGCACCTGGTTTCACTCTCCCGTTTCATACGCATGGTCCTGAGCTTTTCTATGGAACATTTGCCTGACGATCTAATGAACTTAAGTTTAATCCAGCATCTTGGTAGGCAGTTGCTAAAAATTGTCATGGTTCTGATTGTGATGGTCAAATGTTTGGCTGGATAGGGAGGTTTATATATATATATATATATTTTCTGTATTGCTCCTGTTTGGATTAATTACTAGACTGATGCTGGAATCCTGGAGTCTGTTGGAATGTGAGATCTGGTCCGGTAGTTGTTGGTCATTCCGCCTGCACCTGGT